AACAATAATGTTATATCATGCAAATCTATGCATAGATTTATACTTGCCTGAATATGAGAATTAGACCAATCACTCCTTCTGTATGCTCATCAACTTACACTCCGGCTTATTCTGCAGTGAATCCAAAGCCTTTTTGTTAATAGAAACATGTGTTCATAAGACTTTGCTGTTTAACCAACAAATTACAGATTGTTTGAGGAAAAGAAAAGATATAACTGACAAGACTGGACTGGAATTAACTATAAGTTGAATACCATCATAAAGAAGCGTAAAAACACTTTTACTAACACTTTCTATTCACACTTTTCAAAATTAGTCCTATAAAACACAATCGCTGCCCTTACCAAAAAGTAGTATACTTCAAGTTTATTTTAGTAAGTATACTTAAGTAAAGTTCAAGTATATTTTTAAGTATACTTTATGTAGTAAGTATACAAATATCAGTGTACTAGTAATTAATTACATGAATTAAATGTGTACATTTTACTTAGAAAATTGTTGTTCTCCTTGATTTTTAATATTACAAGTAGAATTTATGATGATTAATTTTATATATTTTACAACACCACACATTTTTTTTTTTTCAGTGAGATACAATGTTTGGCACAATGTGGTAAGGTCTTGTTCATCTTGAGTCTTGACTCGTTAGTGTTGCTAGACCTTCGAAAAAACTGCAAATAAGAACAAGCCCATAATAGACTCAAAGCCACCCGCTTAATCTTGGAAATAAGGCACATACCAAAATATTGTGACTTGTACCTGCCTACTTTATTAACTCCATAAAGTCGATCACTTTATGAGCCAAGTCCAAAGATGCATATAACAAGTAACCTATGGCAACCCTTTAAGAGCGTGCTCTGTGTAGCAGCCTTCCAAGCATTAAGGCCAATTCAGGTTTTTCTTCCCATGTGGCACAGATCGGAAAAGACCCACGAACGTGCAAGCAGGAAAAAAAGCACATGGATTCCGATATTCTCATATTGGTTACAGGCCTCATTCCAATGTGGAAATAAATCGAAATCGGATAGGTTTATTTGCTTCTGCCATGTAAGTGCACAGATCAGATATCCCCCTGTCAATGTGAGTTGTATGACATAGAACAAGCAAAGGTGGTGAATGACATTGATTCAGGTGGACACTTTTCCAGGCAGTGTTGCCAAGTCCACGTTATTTCAGCAGAAATAGCCTTCTTTTACACTGTTGTCATGGGTTGTTTTTTAGTCCATGGGTTAATGTGAACTCCCCATCTCCCCCTAGAATGCGATTTCGACGGAGTGGACCCACAACAGAGGGTAAAACCGCAGAAAAAAAAAAAAACATGAATGGGTTAGTTTTGATTAGCAATTGGTCTGGTTTTGTTTTGCAGACCTGGCGACTCTTGCAACTCTGGCAACTCGCAGGCCTGTTTACTCTTGGATTGTTTCATCAAGTGTATAGAGTAAATGCAGATATCGAATATGCGTCACTTTTAAAAGAAGTTGTAAAAGCTGGTCGTTAACAAATAGTCAACAAATCGGAATTGGGCAACATGACCTGCAGTGTCAATGTGGCCTAAAAGTGGTTTAGGTAAAATTGACACTTTGGTCGCTGTAATATTACTTTGGTTAAAAATAGTAGATACCAAATGCAAGAGATGCTCAAAACAGTTCTATGGTTACCATGGTGTCAATCATTGCAATTTAGAGAGTTATTTCTGTTCTGTATACACACATGAAACAATTTAGGGGAATCTCTTCCATGTTTAAATATGGTTGTCACTCCTGAAAGGTTATTTTTACATTTCTTGCCAGACCAGTAATGTGACTTAAACACCATTTTGCTAAATCCTTAGCAGACGCTAGTCGTTTGCAATACGTTTGGAAAAGTGCTACAAAGATGCTAAAGAGTGACAACCGCTGCATAGTTATCTTTAAAACAACACACATGATTGAAAAAAAAAAATGTTTAAGGAATTAATTAAGATTTATATTCATGTGCTTGTTGCACAAACAAAAGAACAGCACAATGGTTTTCAGCTGATTTCTCAGCTTAGAATAGAACTATAGTTGAACAGCAAGCAGGTGAAGACAGAGATAGCAGAAGTGACTCATCAATAGTCTGAGAACATTTTCATTTTAATTTGGACTTTTCAGTTTGCTTTGTCCGACATTATTGCAATTTGAACCAGATGAAAAAGACATGAATTAAGACATCTCAAGCACGACTCATGAATCCAAACAAAACATCGGCATGGAATGAAAATGTCACAAACAACATCATCCCTGCTAAATACTAATTGCAGCTGCTTTTGTGAATGGATGTGAATGGACATTGAAAAGGTCATTGGCTGGCCAGATTTACATGTGTTCATGATGTGCATTTGCAATGTATGCACATTGATTGTGATCAAATGGTGAGGGTGATGCATGTTGAAATCAGAGAGTGTGTTAATGCGGCAGAAGTGATAAAGTGCTGATCTCAGACTGACTAATGTAGTAACAGACTGGTGACAGTAAAGGTGACGGGTTCAGGCTGTGGATGAGGGTGAGGGTTATTAATCTTAGCAGGGGCAATCAATCTCACCTTGTTGTATGTTACCTAAATGTGATTGAGTGCATTTGAAATACCTTGTGATTGCCTCTGTTCGCTCATTTAAGTATTATAATTTAATCAGATAAACGGGGAGCTCAATTTGGCTGTCATTTATCTCCCTCACCTGCGTCATTCCTGTTCTCACCCCAGCCTCATTCCTCATGCTCCCTAACCGTGAACAGAAATGGATTGAAATCTAAGTAGTTACTCATTGATTTGAATGCTATGGTGGAAGGGAATATTATCAAAGATGATGCCAGCGGTGCAGGTTACATCAAACCAGTGACGTCAAAACATCAGTGACATTATTGATTCTCATGTCTCTCGTTACCAAATGTGAAATCTGACGCAACAAATTGAACTGCACTATAGTTGATTTGTGGAAAAGAGGGGAAGATTGATTCATGGTCTCAGAATAATATAGTCCATTAAATTCAGAACATAATGAGTCGTATGGTCAATGTGTGTGTGTTTTTTTATTATTATTTTTTTAAATTCAGAGTGTTGTTAAAAAAAAACAGCATATGGGTTTTATGGTTATTTTTCTTTAAAAAATGTATACTAACATTCAAATAATTGGGGTCAGTAAGTGGTTTTTTTTTTTTCTTTTGAAAGAAACTAAACTTTTATTAAGAAAGGACATTAAATTGGTCAAAAGTGAAAGTGAACTTTCTATTCATCAAATAATCCTGATATTTCTTGAGCAGTAAATCAGCATATTTGAATGATTTCTGAAGGATCATGTGACACTGAAGACTGGAGTAATGATGCTGAAAATGTAGTTTTGATCACAGAAATAAATTACATTTTCCAATATATTACAATTGATAACACATCCAGGCTGGATAAGCATACGAGACTTCTTTCCAAAAAAAAAAAAGAAAAGAAAAGAATAATAGTGTATGCTGACACAATATGATATTCAGCTATGTAAGTGGGATAATTTAATCAAAATTCACAACACATTGCAAACAGTGTTATTTTTATTATCATTGGTATACTATTATTGTTTTGTTAATATTTATATATTTTTTTTTATATTTCTTTGTTTTGACTCTAGTTAAAGTTTTAGTAATTTTGTTAATATTTTCTGTAATTATTATTTTTAAATGGGTTTTTTATAGTTTTTTTTATTTTATTTATTGTTTATTTAGTTTTAGTTATTTTAGTACTTAAAATATTTATTTGTAATAATTTATTTATAAGGATCTAGTTAACACTTATATAGTTAACATTAATTTTTCCAAGTAGTTTGTCAAGGGGAAGATTTTCAGCAAACAACGTGAATTTTGATCTGGAATAAAAAAATAAAAAAATTTAAAAAAAGTTCCTTTTTGCCAGTTTAGCAGTTGTGAAGATCATAATATTATTGGCAATTCACATGTAAAACACTAGCCAATTCAAAAAGCCCCTAAACTTCCTACAATGCACAATATATGCATGTCAGAGGAAGTTTTATTTTTTATTTTTTTAAATGCCAAACAACAAAGTGCTCAAATCAAAAGCTTTAATGGAATTGCAGGGGCTTCTCACAATCGGAGCAGTTTAATTCTGGGAAGGAGTTGAGCTCCAAGCTGACGGGCTGCTGCCTCCATCTGTTTCCTCTCTCAGCGCTGCCTAGATGAGCCCTCATGCCAGTTTGACAGGGGACACCGCTTCTGCCGCCAGTGGTCAGATGAGAACACTTTAGGAAAGAGAAGAGGAGATGATGGAGAGTTGATATGGGTCTGGATGAGAGGAAACTGCCGTTTGAGGACTTGTCATTACCTGTGCAGCTTTTTGGTTTAGAGGTGCATTATGCTGGATTCTCTTGGAGCAGGAGCCACAATCAAACACTATATGTCTGAATATTCTCAGATTTGAATCCGAGTTGATTACACAATGTTTGAAAGTGGACCACATGGTATATTAGTGGATGTCAGTCCATTCTATATATGTTTATGTAAATGGTAGTGCCTCATTTTCACACACTTAAATATATTATGCGGAAAGATCCAATGTGCCATGCTGTGAGAATATTTATTTTGCTTTAACATTTGTGAGAGGAAAAATTATATAGATGTAATGTTACACATGTGGCCAAAAAGATAATGATATACTGATCTTTCAAGCTTATCTGCACCTTAGCTCTTAAGATGCTTAGCTCTTCAAAAGACCATTTCATCCATTAAATGTCAAATAAATGTTAAAATATATTAAAATATCTGAGAATGCAAACTATAAAACTTTAACTTTTCGAAGCTGTAATGATTACTGGACTAGGTTTTACAAGCAATTACTATTTCAGTCTTTCTACTTAAAAATTTAATGTTAAAATCAATGTGGTATTTGCCATTTCTTTGTAATTAATTGTGACATTTACTAGCAATTACGTCAATTTCAACAGCTATGCTGTTCACAAACACACGAAGACAAATAAGGTTTTTAAAGTCTTCAATCCAACTCACAGGGTATTCCAATACACAGGGTAGTATAAACACAGACGCTGGCAAAACCGGACCAGCTTCACCTGAACACAGGAACGTAAATACACAGACCAAACAAGGATAATTAACTACACACAACTGAACAGAATGACGCAATTAACTCAGTGAAGGGGAACAGTGCATGAGGAAAACAAAGTCCAAACTGAATGACTTGTGACAACTAAACACATTTTTACAGTCATCTTGTAATATTCTGCAAGCTCATGCAATTTGTTTGACGTCAAGCTAAACGTTTCCAAATTAGCATACGGAATATTATCAAACCTCATTACACTGTTAATTACCTGATCAAATATTTTCTGTACATAGCGTTCACCTGAAAGCAAAATACAAGAACATTATCACATATTCCTTAATATGTTCAGTTCAACAAATTATCTCACTTCAGATTTCAGTGGATTTGTTCTGATGTCATCTGAGGCTAACTTGATCTTTCTACGGGTTTAAATAACCGAACCAAATTTCTTATGTACTAATTACACTCTAACAAATGCTGGGGTGTTTCAACCCAACTTTGGTTCAAATAAGGACTAACCCAACTATTGGGTTACATCTTTAAATTACATTTTTAACCCAAAAGTTGGGTTAGTCTATATTTGACCCAAAGTTGGGTTGAAACAACCCAGCATTTTTTAGAGTGTAGCTTGCAGCTCTTTGTCTTTTCACGTAACAGTTACCTGTCAGTCAAATTATGTTCTCTTTTAATATATATACGGTCACACTTGTTCTTATTACAGTAATTTAATAGGTATTCTCTAAGGCGAATAATTTTCTCTGCTTCCGCTATTAGACTGTATTAACCTCAGATCGGCAGCCTGGAAAGAGACAATGGTGATAAAAAAAATAAAAAAAAAAACACTGCAGGAATACAAAAAAGTTCAATTATGCTCATGAATACATTACTGGCCTTTTTGACAGGATGATGATGCTACCATTCTCACAGACAAATAAGTGAATTAAAGGGGTCAAATTTGTTTTATTAATTTCAAATGTTATTTCCTTGAGGTTCATTTGTAAAAACTTAGAATAAAATATATACTTGCAAAAAAAATTATGATTTTCTACCCTAATTTTTACCCTTAGTGCTGTGTCTCCTTTAAGACTTATCAGTAAATGGTTAAGATTGGCTAAAGTCATTGCATCTGAAAAATATTAAAATTCTGCTAAAAGTCACAAACTTCCGGTATCATATGTCTATAAACTCATAGAAAATAACCAAAACAATCCAAGGTTTTTATTTAGCACAGTGGCTAGATTAACAAATAACCAGACACCACCCAATCTAAATATTCCCTCACAGTTTAATAGTAATGACTTTATGAATTACTTCACTGATAAAATAGATAACATCAAAAATACAATAACAAACGTCTCGGTTACGTATGGTAACCTCGTTCCCTGAAGGAGGGAACGGAGACGTCACGTCGGATGACCGACAAATTGGGATCTCGCTTATAGAGACCAATTTACTTCGAGTGTAAACTAAACGAGCCAATGCACATTGGCATGCGATTATTGCATCCAGCTGCCGCTGATCACAGAGTGAGTATAAGTAGGCAGCAGATGCAGCGCATATTCAGGTTTT